ACGTTGGTGTTTAAATTTCTTTATGGATCTGGCGTTTGTCTCTAGTTTCCTTAATGTTCAATATAACATTCATTGTGGTGGCGACTGCTCCATTCAAAACGTTGAAGAAAATTGAATTATGTGAGGTGATTTTTCAATGATCCAAAGCGCCCTAAATGTGCAAAAAATGGATGTGCCAAATTTGATACCGAAGTATATGTTATCACATAGTTCGGCCTATCGGGCCCATAGTATCAGTCTAGCTCGTTATTTCTCTATATATGCTTCCCTTGGAGCACCTTGTAACCCTAATTCCATATCCATTCATAATACACTATCCATCTTCTTCCCCATTTGCTCTCAATCTCTCCTAAATTATATATTTTGGATACCCTATTATCCCTCAAATGGGATAGAGGCTCGCTCTGGATGACAGGCTTGCTCGAAAGATTGCAATGCTGTTGTTCGTTTGGACATTGTTATTTTCTCACGTTTATGTAATCCTCAGACTATATGTCGGTATCTAATTTTTTTGCTTTAGTTTTAGGCTATTTGGCTAAAACTGGGTGTGGACAATTTGCGGGACAAGTTATTATATCATTTTGTCATTATAGGCAAATTGCCCGATCAGTGTTTAGCGAATCACAGTGCATATTTTAATGCGAGTAATTCTATTTCTAATCTTAGGGCGAATGACCAAAGCGGGAATGCTTGTTCAGTTAATGTTTTGTATGGTTCTGATGTATCAATATGAGTATTTTCCTTTAATTTAAAAAACTTTGTTTTAACTTAAATAAGTATAACTTCTTCATTCCTTCACGACTTATATCAACTTACTCAATCATTGTCTTGAGTATAACTAAATAAGTATAACTTCTACAATCATTGTCGATTTTGCGCCAATTTCAAGTGTTGTCTCCTCCTCATCTACTTTTCTTCTGAAAAGTCATATTTTCTTGATTGTTTTTTTTTATTGAAGGGAGCTTACATTAATCAAAAAGCAATCAGATAGGGGTTGAAATAACAAAAGAACCATATGTAATCATCCGCCCTTGGACGAGACTCTGAGTTAATCACCTTTGACAAAACAATATAACTCGCTAGTCCTAACTTGGGCATAATCAAAACGACGATTACCGCAAGCCTCACATCCCCCAATCTATGTGCAAACTTCTTACAACATAAAATAAATAAACAAAACACAATCGAAATAAAATAAAAACAAAACACAATCGTCCAAACCCTAATCACACAATTCCTCCATGGCGGCGGTTTCGGAGGGGGGCGGATCAACATCCCTTCATCTTCTTTCACACGTAGGCCATCAATGAACCCCTGAAATTTGATTTTCCGGTCCGAGGGCACGATGCCGACCACCAGAAACTTCATGCTTTCTCCAATAGCCATTTGTTTGTGTTGATGGACCACGTCTTCCATAAAAGCAAATCGCCCCTGTTGTTAGGGTTGGCAACGGGGCGGTTCAGGGACGGGTATACCATTACTCGTACCCGCCCCGTTTGATAAAATTTTCCCCGAAACCGCCCCGTTACCCGTCGGGTATTTTTCCCCCACGGGTAACGGTTTTCCCCGCGGGTAACGGTTTCCCCGCGGGTAACCGTTTTATTTAAAAATAATTTTTTTTCTTCAAAATTAGTATCAATCCTAAAATGATGATTAACTGCTTATCATTAACCACCTAAATTAAAAAAAACAAAATTAAATAGTACCACAGATAGAGTTAAATAGAGTTAAAAAAACAAAATTAAATAGTACCACAAAATCATAATTTAAAATTTAAAACTTGATATAAATTATAGCAACCAATCAAAATTAATTTAATCATCTAATACACCTCTACAAAATTATTAGCAATTACATAAATTAAAGCAAGGTAGAGTAATCTAAAATATTTGGACTTTAAACTCACACGTGAGTTTTATGAAAGTTATTGGGTGAAAAATTAAGAGAGTCACAATGTGAAAATTGCGTAGAGAAAATCACGAAAATCAAATAATCAATATGTGAAGAAAATAAATCTTGTAGAAGTTAACAAAGGAAGGATGGTGAATCTTATTGAAAATTTAAAATCTAAAATAGTGAACTTTGAGCACCAACTCCTCATAATTGCAAAGTATAACCGATAAGTTGAATATTGTTTCAAAGTATTAGAGGGAATAAATGTCATATACTAATATACTACTACTCATATACACTTAATATATTAAATAATAAATACATAAACTATTAAAATATATAGGGAAAAGGTGCAAATAGGCCCATGTACTAACAAAAAAAGGTCAAATAAGCCCTTATTTAGGAGGCTCTGTTCGGCCGTCGCCATTTGGAGTGGTTCCCGGTGGAATTTTTGAATGAAATTTTTTGAGCATCTTATTCATCAAGTCTAGTTTGCTCATACCAAATTTCAGCTAAAACTTCAATCAGGAAGGCATTCAAATGAATTCTTGAAGATACTGCGCAGTAGGTATAAACCCATTACCCGTTTACATAAATCGGGTATTCCCCGCCCCGTACCCGTTACCCAGTCAAAGCAATTTTCCCCATTTTGACCGGTTCAGTTCGGTGCGGGTATCCGTCGGGTCGGGCTAAATTGCCATCCCTACCTGTTGTGTCGGCCTTCGGTACCAGAAACGTCGAAACCAAAGCACCGACCTACCTGCTCGAGACTGCTTCACGCGAACCTGCTCGCGCTTCGTCCTTCTGTCTGCACGCGAAAACGGAAGCAACCTACCGGAGCCCCGAAGACCTACGGCCGCACCTCGGAACCGAGAGCGAAAAAACAAACCCTAGCGGCTGAGAGCCCTAGAGAGACCAAATTTTGTGTTGAATATTTCAGAAAGTGGTTACTCAAGTTTCATTGATTTTGTTATTCTTTAAAAAAACTGATTTGATTAAAAATGTTAGTTTTGACATCATTTCCTTCGGAATATAGACATTTTCTTTCTCCTTTATCATCTATTTTTCTTCTGAAGTCACATTTTCTTCATTTATTTTGTTACTCTTTAAAAGAAATTTCATGATTTCATTACAATTTTGAGTTTTGACATCATTTCCCCCGAATTTAGACATTTGTTTCGTAGTTTTGATTTGTGCTTTCACCCCTTCAATTTATCAATTAAAATTCTAATTTTCCTGATTTTGGATTGGCTTCGTGTTTTGCTATATTTTTGGTGATTTTGTGGAATGTTTACAATTATGATATGCCAGTTTTTACATTGATTTGAATATATTGCCATCTCTATGGCAGATTCTGAAAATTATCAATACAATTCATGACATTATATGCAACAAGATGTCGCCACTCTTTTGTTGTAGTCGCCAATATCGGTGCTATCACCACCACACAATTGCCGCCAGTTTTAAACATCCAAACGCCATGGGTGGCGATAATGATGAGAGGGCGGTGGTGATCTGGTACAAGCAGCTAGAGCAACATTAAGTTCATGAAGAGTTTTTTTAATTAAAATAGTTTTTTATTAATGGTAATTTTGTTAAGGGTGTCATTTTCTTAATCTTAGAAAATATGAAATTAATGAAGTTCTAGCTGAAGTGGCTGTACTCGCTGATTCTGTCGAAACTTATGAAGTTTCGGCTTAAGTGGCTGGGGATCGTCTGAATCTTCTTATTCGTGAAAAAGTTAGATTTTAAATATATTTAATTAATAAAATAAAGAATTTTTTTGTGAAAAAAAACTAAAATAATTTTCTATATTATTGTCAGTCAATACAGTAAGAAAAGTAACTTTTATCTTATTTTTCTTATTATTACATAATTCAGCGCACGAAATCAAAAATTACTTTCAGTGGAAAAGTTGATTGATAAACCTGATAAGCCGAAAAACAGAGTCATCGGATTTTACTCTCCATATATTATGAGGATAGTCTACACGAGGGCCGGTGATTTCCCAATAACATGAGCTCTAAATAAATCTTAATACGAATTATAGTGTTTTTGATATATGATTCTAAAGGGTCAGTTTGTTTCTCGAAGTTGCAAAAAGGGGTCAAATAAGTCCTTATATAGAAGATTCTGTCCGGACGTGCCATTTGAGGTGGCTCCCGATGGTTTTTTTTGATAATTTTTTTTGAGCATCTTATTCATTAAATCTAGTTTACTCATACCAAATTTATGCTAAAAATTCAATCGGGAAGACATTCAAATGAATTCTTGAAGATAACTGCACTTATAACAACACAGTTATCTTCAAGAAATCATTTGAATGTCTTCCCGATTGAATTTTTATCTGAAATCTGGTATGAGTGAAGTAGACTTAATGAATAAGATGGTAAAACAAATTCATCAAAAAATTCCACCGGAAGCCACCTCAAATGGCACGTCCGGACAGATTCTTCTTTATAAGAACTTATTTGACCCCTTTTTGCAACTTCGAAGACCAAACTGACCCTTATCCCGATTCTCTTATGGAGTTACATACTCTTTTGTGCCTTCATATCCATCATTCAATTTATTACGGGATAAGGGTCAGTTTGGTCCTCGAAATTGCAAAAAAAGGAGTCAAATAAGTCCTTATATAGAAGATTCTATCCGGAAGTGCAATTTGAGGTGGCTCCCGGTGGAATTTTTTGATGAATTTTTTTGAGCATCTTATTCATTAAGTCTAGTTTACTCATATCAAATTTCAGATAAAAATTCAATCGGGAAGACATTCAAATGAATTCTTGAAGATAATTGTGCCGTTAAAAGCGCAATTATCTTCAAGAATTCATTTGAATGGCTTCCCGATTGAATGTTTAGCTGAAATTTGGTACGAGTAAACTAGACTTAATGAATAAGATACTCAAAAAAAAAATTATCAAAAAATTCCACCGGGAACCACCTCAAATGGCTCGTCCGGACATAATCTTCTACATAAGGACTTATTTGATACCTTTTTTGCAACTTCGAGTACCAAACTAACTCTTTACTCAATTTATTACTATGTAATTGATGTCTCCTTAAAAAAAAGTCACATTTTCTAAAAGAATTGGTAATTTGGCTCACGAAAGCTTATTGGCTTTTTTCCCCGTCCGTTCCAACAGAGAGAGTACCACCCACTTCAGCTCTCTCTCTTACTGGCTCGCACTCTCTCTCTCCAAAGTTTGCCAAAAATGGCGGATTACATGGAGCACAATGCTGACGGCATCCCTGGTGGTCGCCGCATTTCAAGGTCACATTCGCCGGGACCAACTCGCCGTGCACTGCTCCCTCCTAGAGAGACGCCGTACGTCGTTCCTCGGGTCTGTTTTCTCTTTCCGTTTCAGAATTCTTCCTACATTTGTGCTTTCCGATAATGTGTACGTTTCTGTATGTACATACTCCGTATATGAGACCGATCGTACGTATACTACCTGAAACAAAACAAACTGCAGGGAGTTAAAAGCCGATTAACAACTGCGAGCGGTGAAGAATGTGGAACTATGCTGTACGTATCCAACTTGGGATATAGGGTTTCTGAAGAAGACATTAGAGTCAGTACTTACTCTTCGTTGTTGTTGAACTCTGTTTCCATATTTATTATTATAATTTAATTATTGTAATAATAACTAGATTATTGTTATTGTCATTATTATTATTATCATCATCATCATTATTATTAGTAGTATCACTTTTTGCGTTTCCGTGAAAGGCTTCTAGTGCTAGGCTGCTAGTGTGTAGAGTTATAAAGAACAAGAAGTATATGTATAATTGCTAGCATCCATCAAAGGAACTGAGATTTTAGTTTGATTTTCTTGCATCACTATATGCATATGATTTGGTTGCATATTGTAGAGGTGTTTGAATGTTTGCTTGCAGGTTCTGTTTTCAGCTATTGGTGAGTTGAAGAGTTATGCTATCCACTGTGATAAAAGTGGAAGATCTAAGGTATATATATAAATGTATCCAGGTGTACATTGACGATGAAATGATCAAATGAAGCAGTTGGCATATTTGATCTGCCCAATTAGGGGTAATTTGATTTTGCACCCCGTTTTTAAAATTTTGTTTTTGCACCCCAACCCCATATGAAAAGACAAAAATGCCCCTCCATTAAAAATTTTGTTAGCCTTCAACATATTCTTGATTGAGGGCATTTTTGTCTTTTCATATGGGGTTGGGGTGCAAAAACAAAGTTTTTTAAAAACGGGGTGCAAAGTCCAATTTGCACAATAAAATGGGGTGCAAACTCAAATTACCCCAAATTACATTCATTTGTGTTCTTAAATCTTAATTACAAATACATGAAATAAAAGAAATGAGATGTTTGTTGACAGGGAACTGGAGAAGTTGTGTATTTTCAGAAATCGGATGCTTTGATGGCAATAAGAAAATACAACGATATACCACTTGATGGGAAACCAATTAAGATTGAAGAAGTTGGAAAGATCAACTTTGAAGTTCCTGCATGGCCTCCAATGACTGGAATTGCTCTGGGAAATTATCCCAAAGGATCATCTTTTGAGTGGTACGGTAATTATAGCTAACTAGCCATTCAATTGAGATTTGCTAACTAGTTTATGTTTTACTGTATAATTAGTGGCTATAGATAATTCAACGAATCCTGAGTATTATTATTGCGGATGCCAGTGTACCACCAAGGAGATATGGTGCTGACAATAGTGCAAGAGAAAACCAAGGTTTCTCAAGACATGCTGGAAGTTATAATCGGAGCAAGCCACAAAAATCTGCTGGAGATGAGCACAACTGGAGGGAGAAAAGCAACATTCAGAAAAAAAAGGTCACTACTACTGTTGCTGAGCTAGATGCTGATCTGGAGAGGTATCGTTTGGGAGCTAAGAGTAACTGATATCCAGCCTGTTTATGATAGACTCAGATGCATTGTGGTTATAACCAATGGTTAGTTGGCCATGTATATAGCTAGACTCAATCAGCTAGCTAGGCATATGTCCGTTAGTTAACGTTTGCTGTAATATGACCTTGAGTCTCTAGGCACTGATGGATTTAGCTGGTCTCGCAATCTTCATGCAAGAATGACATAAAAATAGTAGAATTACCTCTTTTCAACACGCTTTGGGACAGAAAGTATATGAACTGGCTTTGTGGCCCAGGTCACCATTTAGAAGAACTCTTATGCTTTAATCGCTATGAACGTAATACTTATTGTAAAAAATGTACAATAAATAGCATTTTGATACACCCATGTCACTGTTGGATCATTCAATGGGGGCACCAAGGGGAGTCCTTGGCTCTAGCCTCTAGGCTAAGGCTAAGGATGGGATCCCATTCGTTCTCCAATATAATAGGTAATTGATGATGCTCATATATATATATATATAGAGGGCTCTTCTCATCAGGCCGGCCTGACGGGCTGCCCCGTCCGGCCGAGCCCGTTTGGGCACCTTCCCGGTGGAATTTTTTGATGAAATTTTTTGAGCATGTTCCTCATCAAGTCTAGTTTGTCCATATCAAATTTCAGCTCAAAATTCTATCGGGAAGGTCGTCAAATAATTTTTGCAAGTTAACTGGTCCGGAAAATACATATTCCGGACCAGTTAACTTGCAAAAATCATTTGACGACCTTCCCGATCGAATTTTGAGCTGAAATTTTGTATGGACAAACTAGACTTGATGAGGAACATGCTCAAAAAATTTCATCAAAAAATTCCACTGGGAAGGTGCCCAAACGGGCTCGGCCGGACGGGGCAGCCCGTCAGGCCGGCCTGACATGAAGTTTTCTCTCTATATATATATATCTATAAGACCTTTTGAAGAGGAGTTAAGGCGTTATATGTCTACATTAGACTCTCTGGCCTCCTGAGAAAGTTAAAACTGTGATTTTCTTCATTAAGATGAGAAGTTACATCAATTACAGAATCTTATTTTTCTTTAAAGGAAATAAAATTTACCTAAAAAAAGAATGAAAATAGAAAGAATGGAGATTTAATAGAGACAACAAACACAAAAGGGAACATATATGAGTGTGTGTACTTTTTTCTCATTTTGGGTGTTCCAAAAAATGATGCTTGGCCAATGACCCTACAGGTCTACACCTCAAAGTCAAACATAAACGTAGTGCAAATTATACAAGTAATTTGAAAAGAGAATAACCAGGTTGTGAATAACCAGGTTGTGAATAACCTATTGATATCGAGAAGTGCTAATGGTCTAATGGAACAACACAATTTCCTGTGTAGGAATTGTTTACAATTCCTATTCTTGAATAGTACTTCGTGTATGCTTTAGAGGCCGTTTGGTAGTCTTATCAGCCAACTTTTTCACCAAACACATAACTTTTGATTTCGCACGCTGAATTGTGTAATAATAAGAAAAAGTAATGTTGGAGTTACTTTTATGGTTGTATTGGCTGAAGTGACTGCATACGACCATTTTAGCTTTTTTTATATATAATTTTTTCTTTATTTTATTGATAAAATATATTTTAAATATAATTTTTTCTTAAATCTGCAGAATCAGCCAATCCAATTATTTCAGCCGGAACTTCATAAATTTCAGGAGAATAAGCTGATTTTCATATTACCAACTGGCCTCTTAATTTGTAGTTCACATATTATAAACTTGAAAATGAAAAATTATATGCAGATAAATGGAGTACAGAGTTATTCTTTTTGAAAGGAAACTTGCTTATATTAAAATAAACTGCAACAAAAAGTACTTCAAACTCAAACTGAGAACCTAAACTACCACTACACTCAAAATCCAAACATCCTCTAGCTCTATGATCAGACATAGATTAGTCACCCTAAGATGAGGATATCAAATCGCAGACCATGTGAGAGCTTTGAAGACAAATACGGGTTTTAAAGCCACAAAGCTTCTGACCGGGGTGATAAACACTCTTACAACACAGCTAACTCCCCTCATACCCAGAACATTATTGAAAGAAGCGTTGTGAAACAAAAACAAATACTTCGTACTTATGAAAACTAACACAACAAAAACTAAAAAATCTTCAGGTGCCCAAATACATATTGGAACGGTTAACTTTCAATCCGTAGCATCTTTGTCACTCTCTGGTGGTGGTTCAAGAGGGTGACGAACCATCACCACTTCATCTTCCTAGACGGCCACCCACTGAATTGGCCAAAATAATCGCGCCAATCCCCAAACAGTCGATTGTAGCCCCATTTCGCCACTTTAACTGGACACTAGATCAACCGCTACTGGTGCAACTTCCATTCCAGCCGACAACAAGGCCAAAGTAGCCAGAACAAACATCTGAAAGTCATGCCTCGCAACCCTAGCTGACGTAGATCCACGGCCACCTCTAATTCTGTTGAACGTTATTGACATCACTCGCATCAAGAGAAGATGGCAAAATCCCCAAGCTTCAATCGGCAGAGACGTCGCACAAAGAAAACCCTACGCAAGAAGATTCACGAGAGAAACCTAGCCACAGATGAATTGATCTCTTCCCGATTATAGGACTAAACGTTATGGAGTACAGAGTTATAGCTCATTCCCGTGGAATAGTAAGTACGATGGTTCATCATAAATTCATAACTTTATTGAGAATTAATTTATTAAAATTAAATTAGAATGTTCTACAAAAATATCCGTATGCTCCACTAGGGGTGGACCGGGCCTCTGGCCGGACTGGGGTTTTGGGATGAAGGCCCGGTACCGGCCCAGGTAGTGATGGACCCGGGCCGAGTCGAGCCCGGGCCGGGTCAAGGCCCGGTCGGGCCTCGGGTCTTGTAATGGTAGGCCCGGGACCGGCCCGGGCATTGGCCGGTTCCGGTTCGGGCCGGGCCACCCGCCCGGGTCACGGGTCGGGCCACCCGCCGGGCCGGGCCAGTATTTTTTTTAATTAATTATATATTATACAAATTCCTATTAAAAACAAAGTTCAAGTGCATTTATTTGAAATAAGAACTACATTTGAGAATTGAGAAAAAAATAACAATACGAAATACATTTTATAATGAATATCAATTGGGATTTCCGCCACCGTTGGTTGTTGTTTTTCCTTTGTCACAGGACTTCATATGTTTTATTGGCATCCCGTATCCGTATGAATGCCCCAAGCAACACTCTTTCTTGCACCACCTGCAAGTTGCCCACCACAGTCCGGTCTTCGGGTCCTTCCACTTGTCAAAATTGTTTTGCATAAGGGAAGATGTACTTTCCATATTTAAAAAGGTATATGTATAAGTAGGAATGTAGGATAATAAGAGAAGATGAAGATGGAGAAGAGTTGGAGAAGAATTGGAGAAGAGGTGTAGAAAAATGTTAGAAAATAGATGTATTTATAGATGTTTTTGAACCCCATTCCCCACACCACCACCCCCAGGACCCCCCTGCCCCCCACCCATAGCCCCAACGGCTATATAGCCGTTTGGGAGCTTTGATTTCAATTTTTTTTTTAAGTTATACTTATTGTAAAATAAATTAATTAATTTAATGAATTAAGTAAAACTAAAACTATTTGTACTTAGAAAAGTGGTTTGATTTATAATTTACAAATGTTACAAAATAGGTGTATAAGTATTTAAACAAATTACATATTGTAAATGTATTTTTAATTTAAAAACCGGCTTTATATTTTAGAAAAATAATTTTAAGTCGTTAGTTTGTAACCAATTAATTAATTTGAGAAGTGCTACATATGAAAAAGTGAGCACATATTTATTTGAAATATGAAGTACAAGTTTACAAATTAATTTGAAGTACAACTACAAATTTACAATTTTGAAATATGAAGTACAAGTTTACAATTTTGAAATATGAAGTACAAGTATAAATAACTTTGACAAGTGCTATAAAATACATTTTATAATAAATTCTAAAATACTAATCAATCGGAATCTCCGGCAAAGGTAGAGCCACCATCGGTTGTTGAGTGATCCATAAAATCTTGGGAGGGGGTGATGCTCATTTCTTGAGTTCTACGTGCGGCCTTCAACCAATCGTGGTAGCATATAAGCGTCTCAAGAGACTCCGCGCTCAATCTCGATCTAGATGCCATTAGGACGTTGCCGGCCGAACTAAATTCTTGTTCCACAGCAACTGTTAAAATCGGCATTGATAGTACTTGCTTAGCCATCCGTGCTAAAATCGGGAACGTTCTTTCTTTTGACTTCCACCAGTCTAGAACGTCAAAGTCATCATTTTCTTCAAAATCAACTTCATATGTTAAATACAAAGTAATCTCATTCAATGCACTTTGTTCAGTGACGTGAGTTGTTTTTGTTTTTTTCATAAGATTGCCAAATGCAGATTTAAAAATTGATTTTCCTTTAGATGAAGATGTTCGTGACGGGGGAGGGGGAGTGTTGCTATATTGTGCACGAAACTCATTAAATAAGGCATAAAATAAAGTACTAACCTCGTTGTATTCCGTTTTCGGATCTATGGGGTTATCGTCATACATTGGAAATTCACCAAAAAACGCAAGATAATAGAAGTTGAAACAATCTTCCAAATTAGCAAGTCTATAACGAGGATCGAGAATAAATGCAATACCATAAATATGGGGAATATGCGCATAATATTTTAAAAACTTTTCCTTCATATGATCACAAAAATAATGAACGAAAACGGCATTCTGAAATTCTTTAAAAGCATCGACGAGATTAACAACTTGTGGAATAAATTGGTTTGCGGTAGTTTATAAGCATGACTAAAAGTTTCAGTAGCATTAAAAAAATATATCAAAACATTACAAATTTTTTCGCAAGTGTCGATCTCAGCCGCGTTTATAATATAGTTATCATGTTCTTTTAAAAAAGCAGGAAAATGTTCTTTATATCTAAGAACAACTTTAAGTAATTTATAAGTACTATTCCAACGAATACTCAAATCTTTAGGAAAAGCAACATATCTCACACCTCTTTCAGTCAAATAAGTTTGCCATTTTAATCTAAGTTGACCATTACCCCAAATACGTCTAATCCCCCCTTGATTACCTCCATGGAATCTCCTAACGCTTTTAAACCGTCTTGCACACATAAATTTATAACATGGCATGCACACCGTTGATGAAAAAATTTACCCATCAAAGTATTGGCACCACACAACTCACGCAATCTAGGTATAGCAGCAGTATTATTAGTAGCATTATCGAAACCAATAGCAAACACCTTATCAATCAAATTATACTCAATTAAAATACGCTCAATCAAAATATAAATATGTTCAGCGGTGTGACGATCATTAAATTCACGAAAAGCAAGAACACGTTTATGCATATTCCAATCCTCATCAATATAATGTGCAGTTAGACCCAAATAATATAAATGATGAAAATCATCCTCCCATATGTCAGAACAAATAGTAACATGCCCATCAAAGTTTGCAAAAAATTTTTGTAACCTTACCTTTTCCGCATTATAAAGCCTTATTATTTCTTTCTTAACAGTTTTGCGGCTATAATTTCTAAATTGAGGATTTAAACTACCTTGTGCATAATCTCTTAAAGCAAGACTTTCAGAAAACAAATAAGGCAATTTTTCTTCACAAATTAAGTTAGCCATACCAGTCAAATTTTGTGCATCATTGTAGGAGAAATTACCAAAAGGTTGAGAATTCGCAAACCTCGATATTTGAGTTTGCTTCCCTGTTCCGCCGCCTAATTTTGCATACTCCACGGGGTGCTTTGCCTTAAGATGCCTTGCGGCGGATCCGTATCCGCCGGAGGTTCCCAAACTATAATTGTTGTTGCACCACTTGCAAGTTGCGTGCCAATAGCCGGTTTGTGGGTCCTTCCATTTATCAAAATTATTTTTCATTAGTTCAGACTTACTTTTTTTATTACCGGTGGCGGTTTGGGATGAGGCAGGCTCGTCGGCGTCGTGGCTGCCGGCACCCTCCTCCTCGGCCGTCTCCGGTTCCAATTCCTCCGCATCTTCATCCTCAAGCTCCTCTTCGTCAATGGTCGTCGGCATTTGTTGTTGTTGTTGTAGAAAGCGGTTATTATGTCGGGCCAATTCTTGTTGGAGTTGTTCTTCGGACATCGCATCTCCATCTCGCCTTTGGTAACCCGTTTCAAAATCATCTCGGCTTTGAGATGAAGAACCGGTAAGTTTTTTACCTTTGCGAGATTTCTTCCTCCCAATCTCGTTCCTTCGATTGCGTTGGAGGTTACCCAAATCAACCGAATATCTACCACCTTCCATCTTAAAAATGTAACAAATATTAATTGACAACAAATATAATAATGGATACAAAACTAATGCAACTAATTAAAACTAGGGCTTCTTTAAAACATCACGGGAACCCTTTGCATAGTAACTAGGGGTGGACTCGGGCCGGGCCAACCGGCCCGAAACCGGACCGGCCCGCTACTGTGCGGGCCCGGACCGGACCGGACCGGACCGGCCAACCGGTTGGTGCACCGGTTCAGGCCACCCGGCCCGGTGGGATGGCAGTTCGGGCTCGGGCCCTGATTTTGGTGAACCGCCCGGCCGGTTCGGGCTCGGTCCGGGCCGGATTTTAATTTTTTTTTTTTGAATTTTTTTTAAGTTTTGGGTTGGATTAGGTATTTTGGGCCATTTGGGGTGGTTTGGGGTTGAGGGGGAGGGGTAGGGGGTTAAAAAGGAGAACCAAAAAAAAAAAAAAAAAATAGACCGGTTGGCCCGGCCCGGCCCGGCCCGGTTTGGCCCGGAACCGGAACCGCCCACCGGCGGTTCAGGCCCGGGCCCTAGTTTTCTGGCCCGAGGCCCGGCCGGGCCCAGGCCCGAACCGGCCCCGAACCGGCCCAAGTCCACTCATAATAGTAACTGTCGAATAAAGCATTTTAGATAATCTCGTACTGGTGGGGTGGACTGGGGCCCTTTTTTGTCCAGTTCTATAGCAATTCAGAACAAAACTAGGGATGTTTTTAATTGATCTAGTTCCATGTTAAAGCCATGTTAAAGGAACGGGGATTGCTAGTTGCAGACTTGCAGTCTAATCCGAATGAAGACGGTTCTGGTTACTCACCCAGTTCCGTAACTAAGTCCGCCCATATCAATGACCCTAATTAGCAGACTGACTCAATCAACAATGCCATTAGACAGTCTCGGGCTTAAAACAAAAACATTCAAATAATAGTCCGGCGATCCAGCCCGGTCCGGAATCAGGTCTGGTACTGTGCAGGACCAGACCATGTCCGGTATTTAGGTCCCGATCCCAACGGTCATTTTAACTTTTTTTTTTTCAATTTTCAAGGGGCTCATAGCTGTTGGGGTGGAGTTTGGGGGGACTTGGGAGGTGTGGGCGGAATTTTAAAAAACTATAAATACCCTTGAACTTGAACCGGAATCAAATCGGGTCCATGCCTATTTACAATATATGAAGGTCTTCTAAACAATAAAATTAGTAACACATTTAAAATAACCGCTATCGATCTCTTATAAGAGTCCCTCACCCTTTGCCAGACCGACCAACGCATAGAAAACCTCATTGCATAAAAACAGAGCTATTTTTAGCACCTTGTTATCCACTATCCTTTGCTAATTTAGCACTAATTACATCTCTACACCATTACAAAACCAATTAATGTACACCAGACAAGCATGCAGAGAAATAAACTACTGCTAATAAACTAGGTACCACTAGATCTGCACTAAAAAATGTGCTGAACACCATCTACAGCACAACATAGCTTGTAGGGGGCAATAAAACAAAACCCCTTCAAACATATTTTAATGCTGACGCATATGAAACAGGAACCTATTTACCACAAGCTAGTGAACAGTTTGGTGAAGAGATATCCCTACAAAACTTGCACTCCTTTGTTGCACCTCGAAGAGTACGATCCTTCCTAAGCTAATATACTCAAACAATTTCATAAATAACATCACCTTCTTCCTCCATGGGGGAAAACCCGGATTCTTGATAACATGTACTGTACACCATTTATTATCATTCTAAAACTTGATATACTCATATACACTTATTACCTGCAACACAACATTCAAAGCAATGAAAACACAAAGTTATCAGTACTCAGTAGCACATTCACCTGAGGGGGTAGTAAATAGAGTTGCATGTATTTTTCTCAATGCATTTAGGAAATATTTAATTTTTGGGGGTGCATTATCGAAATGCTGAATTTCAGTTATACATTAGCTAAATGCTGAATTTCAGTTAAACAGTAGCTATAACATATACGATTCATTTATAATATTGCTGGGGTGATGCCAAAGTATTAAAAGTATAAGGCAGTCAAAGTAGAGGGGGCTAGGGTGGAGCTACGTAGGGACTTACAAAACATTGAATTGTTGAAATGGGATGGATAGTTTTTTCTAACAAACCAGTGGTGATACCATGCCTTATACATATAATAGAACTCCTCTCAAAATGATATTGAAGTGATGACAAAAAGAAAACATGATAGTCAAAATGAAAAAAAAAACTTATAATAAAACTATTATGGGTCATCCGGAAACAGTCTCTCTGTGCTTTAGTACATGGGTAAGGCAGCGTACATCCGACCCTCCCTTACCCCACCGTAGGTGGGAGCTTTTGCGGCACTGAGGTAATGATGATGATGAATAAAACTACTATAGAAAATAGATCATCGAGTACCTGAGGATGGCTCAGTGTTGGAACTTCCTTTGGAAGGTCAACAACATGTTTGTCATCTTTTTGCCAACAAACTCTTGCATAATGCCACAAGTCCACTTAAGATATTTGCATGAAACAAGGACTTCTCAATCACATCCCTTGGTATGTACACAATTGTGCTACAGTCCTCTAGAAATGCTTCCAGAAATCAAGATAGGCAGCATAATAGATCTGAATAAGAGAATAGTTGGCATGATTGTGGCATTTCAACCAACTGATTGAAAAAAGTGCACGCTGGTTGCTGGCCTTTAGCATTGGAACTTTGTTAGTACTACAACTGATATACATCAAGATTCTTCAGTTGGTGGATGTTTGAAACATGGGAACATGGGATTAGTCACTCGATAGCTGAAGTATGCCACGCATCTGGAGGTAGGGATTTTCCAATAGTTTTTCGTTGTTGCTCTGAAAAGGAACATCGCTAACCCAATTAGTCATAGTAATATTTTTACCAATCTCTTTATTAAGTATAAGCTTTTCAACAACAAAAGTTTTTCAATGGACCAAAAAAGAAGAGCAATTCCAGATCACAGTGCGCCCATTTGAAATCCGAAAATTACTAGGGACAGATAATAACAAATAAACCATAAATTTGTTGTTTACAGGGAAGAATGTGTGGAAGAAAATAAAAGATAAGCTAGAACTTAATAAATTTATCTTTAATCTTTATAGTACCCCTTCCTTTATTTTTGTCGATTATATAAAGACGACAAAAACCTAATCATATTTTGTTCTCCTTTGCTAAAACAAACCAAAACATAAGAAAATAACTTTCTGTTAGCGTCTATCCCCTTTCCCTATCCTTTTCCGAGATCGAAACATCGCCTAAGTGTCATTGACAGTGGAAAAGAATGGGGTGAAATAAATCTTGTTAGTACTTAGTATGATACAGGCACATCTCGTAATAGAGCCGTACGAAAGGAACATGGAGAAATATTGTGGAAGGCTTATTATCATTATTATTATTACTATTAGTATTATCATTATTATTAATTTATTACTGCTACTATTATCACTGCCACTGCCATTGCCCCTGTCACTGCTGGCCTGCTGCTACCACTATCACCACCACCACCACCACTAATACCACTACTACTAGTTTTACTACTTTCCTATCAGTATAGGTATTCTATTTTAGTTTATTATTCATAAAACAAGTTAGCAAATTATTAATAGGTTTACATTTACTCTAATAATGGTCCACCAAAACTCTTGACGCTATAAAAACAAGATTATTATTCCTCGGAGTATTGACAAGATAGGACAACAGCATCTCTTGCATAAGGCAGAGAGGTTTTTCTTCTTTATCGATTTTATTCTCCTTTTCCCAACCACGCCAATAACACAATTTGAGTACTCAGACATATGCCTTTTTGGAAAGGAGTCATTTGAAAGTGTTCATACCTGCTGAGCCCTTGAAACAAGATTATGTAGCAAACGCTGGTAACTTTCAGGTTCTTCGGACATCCTTTTCTGCAAAATGCAATTTAAAGCTAATTAATAAAACAGTGCAGTAATAATACTTACAGATTAACTGCTAAAGTCTAAAGCTCCATTTCATCAAACCAAGAAAAAGCACTTGCCTTTAGAAGGAAAGTGGAAGAGTAATAAGCAACTCTTGAATCTATATCCTCCAGTAATGCCCTGAAAAATACACATACATGCAAAGTGAAAAATCAACCTACAACTACTTAAAGGAGGATTAAGATTCTAAAAAAAGAAATCCATATTTTGTGTCAATGTGTCATAACAAATAGGTCATCCCCACTTTTGAATCCAGACTTTCATTTCTACTACTTTAGGCCACAACTATAGACTTGTTATCACTTTTGGCCCTACCGATCATTAAGCCGGTAAATTCCCTGTTGATTTTCACCAGATCATAATTTGTAATGGACAAAAAGTGACACAAAATCCATAGTCATGCACAAAAATTGAAAAAAATGAACTCAGTGCAAAAGGTAAGAATGACCTTATAGTCATGACATCAAAAGTGTTAAAACTTTATTCTTACGAGACAATACATCACCTAAAGAATGGTTCTCCACCAACATCTTCAAAAGCTGCAGGATCCTCAGTGCATTTACCAATTAAAAGTAATAACAGGGTGGCTCTTATATCTGAAGTAGCACCAGGAACGTTTCCTCTTCCTTTGCTACCAACTGAAACACCTAATGCAATGTTGTCTGTCGCAGCACCAGCAAGTTGAATCAATGGCCAATAAAACAAATCAGTAGGGACACGTGCAACCAATTGCATAGGAGCGATGGCTTGCCCATGAAGAAGCAGTGCTGCCATGGACGCAGTTTCACATATTGGCGGGTCTTTACTTTTTCCGTGTTTGGTATTGGTGTCTTTGAAGGGCTCCTCATGATACTGAGGATGAAGTTCCCCTGCATCATCCTTCTTGTTCCAGCCAGTGTCTTTGACACCAGAGGGAAGAACTTTAAGGCACAACTGAGACAACAGAATTTCACACATCTGCACAACCAAAGCCAACAATAAACGAAGACCAGCCATCAATACCAGCAACATAAGTACATGAGGTTCTCACATATGTCTCATCATTTTAAGCACGGGATGCATAATGATATATCTGCATGGGGTATGAGAGTTCGTGATTATTTGTAATTAAAGAGTCGAGCTTTAAATACATTTTGCCCTATAGGATAAGAGTTGGGGCAGATAGAGCAAGGTCAATTTTGCTGAAAATTTGCCAAACCAGAAGGCCAGAACAGAGTTGCAGAGAAGTTACATGTGAGAAGTTTAGTTAAATTAGCAGATAAGTTTTTAAATAGAAGTACGATTCATGATATATTGACTGATATATCTTACGAAAATTTAAAAGTTGTACATTGGTCAAACAGGCCTCTCTTTTGGGGATGGAGGTAGTAGTATAATAAAATTCTTAACTACCATATATAGATGTTCATTCTAAGTGGCTATCAAAAGATAAAATCGTAAGCAACAGTCCATTAATTAAAAATTAATAGGCTGCTACTATCTAAACAATATTTCATGGAATAGCTGCAACAGACAACCCTCAATATTCTGAGCTCAAGGAAGAATGGCAATCTAAAGACACAGGCACTTCAACTTTTGGGTATATCACCGCCAAATACATATGTTCTACATCTGCCAGATACTCAGTTACAAAGACAAGGTGCCAAAAAGATTTTCTGTCCTATTTAAAGATTGACATAAATATTGTTTCTTGTGGCCAAATTATTTTCCAAACAGATTATGAAATAAAATATTTTATCATCAAGCATATGTAGACAATACAAAATGGTAAAATTTTAGTTCCTGAAAATGTTTTTGGCATCAGCTCTTAAAGGTCAGCAATTAAGCTGAAGAAAGATGATTTATCCCAAAAAGTGGAAATTTCAAATTTGTAATCACAGCAAATGTCAGGAATCATATAATTATAGTACTAAAATAGCATTGCCTGAAAACTTTGTCGCATCAACAGTTATCTTAAGGAATGAAAATTTCTAGTGGAAACCGTTAAATAGACCCTCATACTATAATCAAAATGACAATTAAGCCCTCGTACCTAAACATCATCAAATCAATCACCTCAACTATTATAAAACACACAAATTGAACTTTTAGCCGGTATACAACTGGTAGCCGGTTAAATATGTACATGGCGACCAACGGGGCACTAATATGCAATTGGTTCAAGAAAAAACACATTGTCAATGAGTCTGGATCTGGTCTTTCATCTCTCCCTCTCCCTGTACGCGAAGTTCATAGTACGAGGGGACCGGAGGGGTCGGCTAATTCTCCTTGGCTTAGCTACTTCTTACAACTCCTTAATAAGCAAGAAGCAAACAAAACCATAGAGTCATCTAGGATAAGGATTAAGCAAGCCACCAGAGGCCACAGAGATGACATAGTCACTTCAGAGGCCAAGGTTGGAGGAGAAGAAGGAAGCTAGGTGGCGACACTGGGTGTAGGCTTCAGGCCACGTATAGATGGTTGAGTTGTGTACCAGGCTCAGATCTGTCTTCTACTCTTCTTCCCCTTATGCGTCAGTTTTTATTACATGGGGATAGCAACACAAGGGAACATGCACCAAATTTCTCCTCTTCCCAGCAAAGGGATTGGCTCGGTAATGGCATCTCTATGGGCAAACGAAGTTGCATTGCTGCACCCTCGGATGAGATCAATTTTGGTCCCCTGAAGTCAAGCTCAGCCTCATGATTCTTTCAATGTCTCTTGAATTTCTGGTGCCGTCCATGGTTTCAAAATGGTTCAGTCAATTGGGTGCTGGAAGAGAGGGAGGGGACATTTTGGCTAAAAATAAAATTAATTACTAATAAATAGAGACAATCAGTCAACTGATTATAGGAATCAGGAAAAGGAGGCTGCCAGCTAGCCGGTAAAGGAGACTGCCGGCTTGAACAGTGATGTGGCAATGGTTACCTGAAAACCTACAAACAACCTGCTAAAATAATAATTTGGATGTATTTTATGAGTTCATACTTCATAGACCTAATTGGGTGTTTTTTAGTACGAGGGTTTAATTTCTATTTTGGATATATTACACGGGCTTATTTGATAGTTTTCCCAAATTTCTATGCAAATTTTATGTACAACAACATTAGTTTTTCTGGTTTCATTAACAGGTGATGTTAAAATGTGTACCAAAAGGATAGAGCCTGACAGAATAAGTACCTTCAATATATTCAAACCATCTGTTTCATTTAACTGGGCCATCAGGGACAATGCACTACTCATAATGTCTATCACTGCATTTGCTTTCTCAAGGCGACTCTTGCCATGCAGATTTCCAGTCTCACCACTTATCACATGTTGGACTTCACTCTCATCCAACAAAAATTTACATCGCATGAGAAGCCTCTCTAAAACAAATAGGAATCCAATTCTGATAACACTGTTTTTTGACTTCAACATCCCAAACATGAGCCAGATAGATATAGGGATATCTAAATCTGGTGAATAATCATTAACATCAGCAAGGGCTTCAATTTTCTGCTGCAACTTTCGGATGCTTGACCATATACTTTCATCCCTTCCCTCGGTAATTTCCGCAATCAGCAGATCACCCAACCATAGATAGCCATTATGACGACAAGCAGTTCTCTCTGAATGAAGAAGAGAATGTAATGTAACCCAAGAAAGTTTTGCTTTCATGTGAATGCTGTTTCCCGAAACCCCATCTATTCCATTCTTTAGAAGTAAAACTTCATCGATGCTTTTCAAAGATTTGAGTGATTTCGTCATTTGTCTTGACTGGGCAAACTCTTTGTCAAGATGTGTAAATGACTTTATAAGCATTTCAAGTTTCTCTACAATTTTTTCCAAGAACTGCAATAAAAATAGATGACATAAAACAACTTCCCAGATTGCATAAGTAAAATGGGAAAAAATTACCATGAAATCCTTTAACTCATTTATTTGTTTGTAGGGGTGGATATGTGAGGTCACTTAATATAAATGTTTCTTCATGGCTAAATGTATGTATGTATGTATGTATGTATAGCTTTTATCAATCTATGTTTACGCCTAAGTATCACAGAAGCGTAAAAACAAGATTTATATAGAATATAGGATGAGAAATGTGGGGGGAACACGTATGCATTAAAATAATATAATGATATATAGATATAAATAATTTATATTTTAACATATACTTAAACATGTTTTTACATTATTATAATTGCACATATTTTTCATATAACTTTAGCAGTAATACATATAGTCTACATATTCAAATTTAGAGATTATTACATAAAATGCAATACATTTATAGCAACACATTGCATCATGGAATATCACAATGTTGCTAGGAAGAAATCCCATAAAAATTCAATCAAAAGTTAAAAGAGCACTATTTACTATCAAGGAATGCCATAAAAAATAGAAACCTAAAGTTTCTGAAACGCTAATTATTTCTGGAAACGGGTTTCCCAATTCTTTTTAACTACAGAAACAGCTCTGCTCGAAAATTTGAAGTTTCAGGGCTCCCAAAACGGGGAAACGTGATCCGTAGGAAGTTTATGTGATTCACAGGTTGTGGCCAATTACAATTTATACACTGCACGGGTTTACACATCAAATCCTTTACCCCCCCCCCCCCCCCCAAAGGAAAAGCATGAGGAAAAGGCAATAAGCAGTAAAGGAATATAAATCTTTATTGAGTCCAACAAAAAAAAGAAATTTCTGATATCTAAGTATGTTTAAAAAACACGAAATAATCATTTGAAGTGCTTCCCCATAGGACATATTGATGAATTGCTGAATTCATATTTCACAATTTAAAGTTGATTGTGCAAACACAACTTTGTTACCAAATTTTTTGAATTGTGAGATCATCAACCAAGTCAAACACAAAGCAGATATAACACAGATGACAAGATATTTACCGTAATAAGCCGATCACTACTGGGATGTCTGGACAGTGGGGTAAATATAGATCTTCTCAAAAGCTCTAAAATACCTTCCACCCCGAGTTTGATTGAAATGTGTAATGCTTCAGGTGCATCTGCAAGCATAAGTAGTGTTGCAATAGGTTGAACTTCATCATCACTATATTCAGAAATTCCAGCCATCATGCATGCCTCATTTATTTGATGCACAACATAATCAAACAAAACAAGGTAAAGATTCCTCCTCTCTTCCCTAGAGTTTGACAGCATCAACTGCAGTCGCAAATCAGAATGATATAAGTGTGATATCTAAATATGTTTATGAAGAACTCTATACAACTACAGTCAGAAGAGAAAACATAAGTAGTACCCATCTAGGCATCTAGGGCAGGTAACTTCTACTGTATGGGATGACGGTTGTGTTAGAAATATTATGTTAATAATGCAATGGAGCGGGAAGATTGTCAGGTTTATGCCAATAAAAACATGTTAAGTTTCTAACTGATGACTTGAGGAATATATATTGAATTCATGATGGTATGACTACTAATCACAAATTTTAAAAAGCCTTATACAAATAATAATAAAAAGGAGCCCCTAGAGCCTGACCATGTTCTGTTCCTTAACAGCTTTTCATCAAAACTGCCAAAGGGTAAGTCAACATCTTTTCTATATACATGAACACAATGACACAAACACACACATTATACACATCTAACAGCAAAGAGAGAAAATAAAAACATTTTAAATAGTTTACTCTATAACCTATAAGACTATATAGACTTACAAGAAGTAGAGGATGTGGGAATTGGAAAAATCTATGACCATGGATTGTGATCTGATACTATATATTCTCCATTTCTTTCAAAAAGCATGTTCAATCCTATACCCTCATAGATGAAACAAAGTACTATTGAAAAGGAAAAAGAACTTGGAGAAAAAGATGATGTCTGTGTGTGTGCTCATTTTCTCCAAAAAATTGACATTTTTAAAATTCAATGAAGTACAAACTCTTCAAAGTCAGGAACTTCTACCCATGTTTTGATTTTTTATTAACAAAATTAATCCTATTGAACTTGTTTGTAGCACTTTATTTGTAAATAACATGGAAAATCATCTCATTAATGAAACATGACTTTTTAAAAGGAGAGTGAGTGTAGCATGAATATCTGTGTTTGGGTGTCTTTTATAAACTTAGACTGTGGCCATGGCCCCACGTAGTCCTTAATTGTGTCAGCTAGCGCCTAAAAGGCACCATGAGAACAGGATTTCATACTCGCAATATAGTGCCCGTTTGGTAGAAACATTTTACTGGATTGTGCTCACTGGATACGATGATAACAGGAAAAACACAAGAGTGAATAATAATGACTGGGGGGGGATTAGGGGCTTTAAGTTTTAAGATTAAGACTTCACATGGTGAGTTTCAGAATATTAGGTGAGAGCTGTAGCCCTGTGTCCTGATGAGTTTTCTGTCATCTTCTTGAGTTCTTTTTCTGTTTCCTCTTCGAATGGCTACAAGGGATTTGTGTACTATATAAGTAATTTGCAGTAATGGATTCTTACGAGGATTAATTAACGCTATAAAGTTCAGAATTAGGATTGATTAAATGATGGATGTTCAAGGATGATTCTAATTGGACTGAAATTTTTAGTCTGGTTTGATCTGTTTAAATCTAGTCTGGTAGATCCGTAGATGTCTGTTTTATCATTTATGTGTGTTTTACCACCATCGAAATTTGCTTTGGTCTGGAGATGAAACCAGTCAATTAAAAACATCCTAAATATTCATGAAGTATGCTACTTATCATGAACTACGGAGTATTATTTTTTGCTAAATATATTAGACATATAAAACGAACATTACTAGAGCTTTGTGGCATGTAATTTATAACTTTAGGCCAAGAAATCACATAATAATAATAATCCAACTGATCCTATTCGCTACTTGGCCCATGACCGAATAGCCACCGAGTACCAATTTAACTACTTAGATATAAGTAGTAAAATAAAAGGAATTTAATCACATAAATGTAATCCAAAAATTAAACTTGCAAACGGGCGCACATAGTTCGAAGAATTATTACAGCATTTACCTCTGCAAAAATGAACTCAATTCCACCGATCAAATCAACTTGCTGAATAAGAAAAACAGGTGTAGCTGGTAGAGATTTATCAGAGTCCTCTGGTGTTTCATAGAACATATTTGTGAACATGCCAATAAGCTTGGAATGAACTACTTCTGCCCATGAATTTCTACTGCTAACTTCTATGAGTGCCTTAACAACCTGTGAGACAGTAATAGTAGACATATGATAAAATAGGAAAAAGGGGAAATGCACTTCTAGCTGCATGAGAGTAGATAATAATGGATGAATTGATATTTTCTATATGGACTAGTTAGTAGTAACGTATTATCAAAGTACAATGAGTACTGATGCATGCTATAACCAGGACAAAGACAATACATTGAAGCTGACATCAATTGATATATGTTCCATGGGAGACTGGTTTGACTCACCTATTTCAAAAGAGAGTCTTCTTTTGTACACCCAAATATGTACTAGTATTTATTTAAGGTTAGTCCACATATTCCAATTAAATTACCATTAAAGATTTCGTGAGCATGCAGATCTGATAAAGCATGTGCAATTGGATGAACGCGACAGAGATGACCAGAAGGGATAGAACACAACTTACTCGGATGTCGAGACTTCTAAGTCTGCTTCTCCGTATTCTGCCTCTATCACACACAAAATAAAGCAAACAGCTCAGGGAAGATGCCCATACAGACTCTTCTTTCTCTTCCATCTGCACCCAGTAAAGTAAAAAAAACGGTGTTTATCCTATGAAGGTAGTGGAGAATTAGAACTTGGCATTACTTTAAGGAAAAATGCGTAAATAGCCTAAATATAGTTTTCAAGAAAAACTCAGGAGCATATGGGTCCAGCTGGACCACTCAAATAAGAAATATAAAAGACAAAATATAGGAATATAGCACATTGCACTTTAAGAAATTGCTCTCAAGCATCTAAGTGAAACCTGCAGAGGGCACACAAAATAATTTTGTGTGCATAACTACATACGAGAATAAGAGAATAAATTCTTTCAAGTTAAAAGACAGAAAACAAGATTGAACATTGTACATAAAATTCTCTTCATCATCTACCATTAGTTAACGCTACAAATTCATGTAAAAGTTAGTGCAAAGTTTTACATCAAATTGCCTTCCTGTTGCAACCTTCTTATGAATGAATAATGAAATAAAATTGCAAGACCCCCAACACCATGAGTTATTCCCGCTTTCATGGAAACTATGATGAGATTAGATTGAGTTGAGATCTTTGTTATATTCATGTTCCACAACAAGATTGAGATTGCAAAAAGAACATGCAAACTAAGGAGCATTATTGATAGCTAAAGTTCCCCTTTTGTATGGATATAAAAACTACCTGGACAAGATGAAGAAGAACCTCACAAAGAATGCCTAAAATCCAGCATTCAAATTTCTCAATAGCCAAGTAATTCCCAGTTGGTTTTTTCTTATCTGGAGAAAATTGAGTTTCACAGTCAAAATATGCTTCTTCAGAATATTCTTCTGCAATTGAAGAAGCCTCATCAGCTGCTGGAGGCTCTAACAAGTGAGCATGAATTCCAAGATTAAGGATTAAATCAAATGCCCTATCTTTCGATCCCAACCGAGGAGCATTGATCATTTCCTGTATTTTGAAAGAAATAGAGATATCTTATATTCCACGTAATTGCAGGGGTGTAAAAGGGGGGAAAGAAAAAGTAGACTAAATTCCCACCTCAAGCATTGATAGAGTAAGCGGAGCAGCAAGCTCAGAATCTAAAACATACCTACAAAAGTTAAGCAACAAATGCCTTAATAAACAACTTTAACAACACCACTAAAAATGTTCATGTCAAAAAATGCATAAAAAATATTACCACAAGACACTAATAATAGAATAACTTTTTTCTTTGCTAAAAGATTATAACCAGCATTCTAAGTCTCACGAGTCATGGAATCACATTTTATCTTTGTTTGACTCACAAGACTTAAAACTCATAGTATAACGTGGGCCAAAAATGTAGTTTACAGTACAACTTTTCAAGTAGAGACACTAGAGAGAGGTTTTATCATATAAAAATTTTAATAAAGAAGCTACTTTGAAATTAGAAAAGTTCTGCTGTAAGTTAATAAATGTTCTTTAAAGTATTCTAACAAAACCTTAGAATAACTAAGGTTTTGGGCTTCAAACGCATGAAAGTGTTGTTCATGATAAAATTAATTTTCAAATTTTACAAAACATGTCAAACATAAGTAAAAAGAGCTTACTTTATAGTTTGTATATATGTGTGTGGGTGAGTGGAGGGTTCTACCGAGAACCCTTCTTAATAAGATATCCTTAGAATGAGAACATTTAATCTCAACGGCTTAACCTTTTATTTTTTTTAATCAATAGTAAACACACAGATGGTGTCTTTTGTAGTTACTGTAAATTCAAATAGGGTCTTTTGTATAATTATTGTAAAATAATTACAAAATTGCCACTTTGTTAATTTTAGTCATTGATTAGAAGTATGAAAGGTGGAGATTAAAGTTCTCATTCAAAAAGGGGTTCTCATTAGAACCCTCCACACACACGCATTATAAAATCTTATGTCCATTAGAGAAGCCATACCAAGCATAGCCTTAGGCCAAATAAAACGACACCAAACATTTTCAATAAATGCACTCGGAACTCGGAAGTGTAGTCTACAGAATGTGAGATGTACACAGACCTTACCTCTACCCGTAGAAGACGAGAGGTTGTTTCAGCTGACACAACTCGCTTAGAAAGAATTTAGGAAGCTTCGGAGGATGTTAACAATTTGAAGAAAAAAATAGAAAAATTATTAAAAATTTTGAACTAGAAAAATGCCATCCTTAGTTGCAGCTTCAAAGGTAGTTGTGAACAGTGTGGTAAAAACTTGATTAGACAATACAGGGAAAAAAGGCATAAAACAACTTTGAAAAGAACAATGCATAATACTTCATAGTAGGTAAGAACCAAAAATTGCTTGTGATAAGTTTGTCATTCAGAAATGTGTGTTTATACAAAAGCTACAGCCCGCTTAAACGAGTCAACTCACATTTACAAATTTGGTCTTTGAATAGAGCATTTTATTGAGAAAACATTGATCAACCAAATGACATTTTCAGAAGAGTAAATGCTTGTTTTAAATCGAAACACCTTAGCAAAAGAAACCATGAGCATGAAAGTCATTTGAATGAGTGCTTTGAGTTGTACATTGACAAATTTGTTACACTCACCGCCTCACCGGATGTTTCACAAGTATGAAAAATTCATTCAGGGCAAAAACAATAGAGTATGAAATAGCATGTCATTAAAGAAGTGCTGGATTAAAGCGCAAATAAAACAGCAGCACTTACATGTCAATAATAAGTTTCACGAGAACACTAGCAGCAACATCTATAGATGGTTTTCCACTGTTATTACTCAGTTTAGATGAGACCGTCATAAAATAAGCATTTGGAGCAGGACTCTCTGAGCAAACAGCAGCAATAACTTCACAGACTTCTGTGGGGTTTAATCGCAGAGGTTGTTGTTCACTGACAGACATAAATATTGAATGTGAGAGATAGTGAGGGAGGATATATATTGTTAGTTGATGTATACAATATTGCAATCAGTTGTAAACATGAATTAAAATAAATTCTAAGCTTCAGTTACAGTGCATGATGGCATGCACAGGCTAATCCCCTAAAATTTTAATGAAGCAAAAATGATGGTACATACATACATGGTTGATGAAACAAATGCTCTACAAATTTACAAACGCTTCATGTTAGAACTATGAAAGGTAACATGCTGGCATGCATGGTTATCAAATCTAGGTTCAGTCATGAATCATAAGATGTATATTTTGAATCATTAATCGTTTGAGTCGTACAAGACATGATCAAATAAACTATAATACAGTTAAATTAAGCAAATGTCTAATTGATAGCCAAAAAAATAAAAGATGGTATATCTATGAGCTTTATTAATTTTAGTATAATCATGGAATTAGTAGAGATATTTGGTAAAGAGAATAACTATAGTGGGAGACAGTGAAATTGCACTATAGTAGACAGAATAGTACATTTAACATGATCTAATTGGACATGTCACCAGTCCATTTACTATGCAAAGGTGTGGTGCTCAACCCTACTTGTCACGATTTTTTATCAAGTGGATAGGGATAGAAAGGATGAGTTCCTCTCCAGCATATATCCACCATTAGAGAAAAGAGAAATAAAGGGGATGAATGTGTTCATCCATGCCGGACTTAAAAGAGAAATAAAGGGGACAAATGCGCTCATCCACAGATTTAGATGGAGGCCACCAGAATGAGATCTCGAGGAGAATGATAGAAGATGGGTCAAGAGGGAAGATGAAAGGCGTACATGGTAAGATTTTCTATTCAATTTAGTACTTTGACTAAGATAGAGTGATAAGAAACTCGAGAAAGGCGTATGCAAAGGGAGTTTTCGGAATTGTGTGATGCTCTTTTGTATTGCAATTTATACGATTCGACATCATATGGCAACCGATTCATAACTATTTTGACTTATCCTGCGAATTGTATTGGTATTTGGTAGTCTTGGTTTTGTGTCATATCGGGATACATATCCCATGGATCTTACAATACTCACTACCATCATTGCAAGTTTATGTCACACACACACCCAATATAACCGATGAAGGATGAAAAATGTAGAATGTTTTTTCAAGTAAAGATCATAACATGTTGTCAAAGGATTTTAGAATCACAAGCTACTATAATGAAAGCATTTATAAATTACAGCCTCTGAATGAACTTTGGACAACATTCACATTTGTTCCTGTCTAAGCAAAACACCTTTGGATAAAGCAAATGCTGGAGCTGTATACCTGTAGTGGCGATATTGAAAAAGTGGCTTTGTACGAGGCCGGAAGGTGCTCACCGGAGAATCCTCCCTATTTATTTAGAATATTCAAAAAATATTATATTAGACATGATTTTGTTTAAGATCTCTTTAGTAGAAATTAGAGGACAAAATCAGACAAAGCAGGTCTCGACATTTCAAATTTCGGAGTTTATGAGGAGCCATAGAACTCCCTAGGTACAGAAGATGCTATGGAACCAGGTCAAAGGGAATAAAAACTTGAACAATTTCAGTAACCAAGTAGGAAGTTACCATATCTCATTAGGCCCTGCTTTAGAGCGTTTTAGTGCTGTTATTGCTCTCAAGTGTGCACGAGCAGAGGCAGAATTTGTGACAGTCGTCAGCAAAGATGGCTGCAACAGTTGATCCAGATAAGGCATTTCAGCGCTGCCATATACTCTCCAAGGCTCACCCTTCATTTTGGCTTCCATGTCTCCTACAAGCAGAGCTGCTGCACCAACTTCTAGGAAATTATGTGCACTGACTTCTTTGGGATTCAAAGTTTGATCGCTGAAATTTCAGGTTTCTAAAATCACAAAATGCAAACTATGCAAGTAATTAAAACTTTAATACCAAAATAATTAACTACCTCTTAGGCAAAGATAGAGATTGCTGTTCATCTCTGCACCAACGCCACTTAAAAACATCAACTGGCATGAAACCCTGATCTTCCAGAGTATCAGCTTCTTCAAGAATTGGTGAATAAGAAGAAGATATGGTAGACATTTCTTTACTTTTTGGAGACTCTTTGACAGAAGGGTTTAACTGGGTAGTGAAGGATCTTCTCAATAAAGATGACAACGATGGGAGTGCTTGCCTTGACGCAAGAGGTGCCCCAACAAAAGCTGCAGGTTGAAATGACCGTTTTGGGATATGTTGAGCCACCAGAGAACGGACATAATGTAAGGACTTCACAAGAGCAGCTGATGCAAAACTTGACACAGGTAAAGGAGATACAGTGACAGATGATGCCGATGCACCACTTTGTTGTCCTAACGAACGTGGCAATGGTGCCAGTTTCCGGTTTGTAGTCATATCACATTCTGCAATTATGCTTAAGCAGAACCTATCAATCTGTAGTAGCGTTTCTTCGCTTGGTTTATACCTACAGTAAACAAAAGAAATTGCATAGCCACTATGGTGAAAGCGGTAAACTGCCAATACGTAATAGGACAATAGTTCTAGTAAAGCCTTGTGGCCCTTGTTGGATATAGAACCTTACCTAAAATTCATTACAGTTTAATTTTTTGTAATATTTATTCTAGCTTTAGTTAATAAGTTTATATAGTTAGAAACTACATAGTACATTAAGAGTTACGTAGTATATAAAAACAAAAAATATATTTTTGAATTTCATTTTTTGTTTTGTAGAATTGAAGGGAGATAGAAGAGTTATTTCATCATTTGATCAACAAATGATAACTAGGTCAATTCTTTAATGTAAAGACATCTATTGATCTAATCTCCGTACTGTGAGGAGTTGTGTGCTGTTAAAGCAAAGCATAGGCAATTCTATCGTCTTTCTTGTTCTGGCGAAGCTTAGGTTAAATAACTGTTGGTGCTCTAAAGGATTATATGAGCTTGCCTTTATTCATCGTGCTACTAAATGGTTTACACTTTGAGATGCAAATTGCATTCTGAACAGATGTTATAAATTACTTTAGAGGTGCAAGTGAACAGAGTCAACAGACGTTCTATATCAATTGAAAATTCGCCAACTCTTTAAAAAGACATATGGGGTGAACTCTGAACAGAGATCGTATATCCATTGAAAACATCCCACCTCTTTAAATAATACGGAACAATTACTCAATAGAGCAATGATAAATTAATATACTCCAAACGGATGAAAAGCATTATGAAAAAAGGTTTTGCATCAATAGAACGGTTGGTAAAGCCATAATAACTGAATACTTACATCACAGAAGTAATTATGGAAATAGGTAGAGCCTACCTTAATAGATACCGTTTCAAAAGTGCCACAGATTTTGCTACCACCGCAGGGCTGGTTTAAGGCAAAAGAGAAGATAATATCAGTGGAGAAAGGAAAATGTTACATCAACAAAATACAAATTTGTCTTTCAATTGCTCGGTATAGGCTTCAAAAATCTTTAATATAAAGTACCTTCACTGTATAGTAAAAGGGAAATACTCCATCTACTTTCTTTTCTAGTATGCGCCAAAATAATGTACATTGCTATTTTCAACACTGCTAGTTTTTTTCCTCAGTGATCCCTTTGGAATTTAGAATGTTTACAATCAATTGAAACTTGAGACTCCTCTGAGCCTAAATTTAGAAAGACATGCCAAAAACAAATCTCTTTTATCTTTTTTTAGATTGGAGTTAGATACGTAGATAGGAGTAGTAACACTACAAAGCAGATTCACTACATAACATTGCCACTTTGGATCTGGAATAAACAAAGTGACAAGAATCAGTAAATTGAAAGACTAAATCTAAGCTACAGCTTCCATCTACTTTCATATCATTGCAGTTCAAGGCAGAAAACTTATATCCATCCACAATTTTTGGTGGATTAAAGCATACAAATAACCAAATAATTAAGACACACCTGCGCTCACGTTCTGCTAGGGTGTGATCCAATATTACACCATAAGCCAAGTCCGTTGTGGGATGTGAGGCCAAGTAATCCTGTGAAAGAGTATATATCCATTATTAATCATGACATTTTCTTTTTGTGTTTCTATTATTACACCATAATCAAATATTCAAATCCATCATTTTATTAAAAACTGAAGGGACAATTGAAGAAGCAGCCATTTTTGCTTTGGATGGCTACTTATTTAAGAAAACTGCAAAAGTATAGCCTTTCATTTAAAACATCAATGCAGTGCAACCCAGTGACACCAAAAACATTGAAACGACTCATATTAAGTAAGAAAAAAAAAGTGAGTTTATATTTTCATAAGGAGCCAATTAGCCAAGAATGAGATGATCCTTTCAGTACGGCTACATTTTTAGTTGCATTCATGATTATCATTCTAAGTTCTAACTACACTGTAATAATTAGTATTCACTACGATACGGTCCAAATCCAGTTGTTTCAAATTTCAACTGTTTTTTTATGTTAAACTTTTTTGGTACATATAGTTGGAAGACGGGTTTTCCATCATTTCCAATGGAGCCAAAGACTCACTATTTTTTGGCTTGGGAATATGATGGAATAAAGCAAAATAGCACAATAAACTGTTTGCGCTTCTTTGTTATGAAGCAGCAGCCAGTCGATGCAATTTTCGAAGCAATTTCCATCATGAGTCATCCGAAAACAGTCTCTTTGTGCTTTTAGTACAGGGGTAAGGTTGCGTACATCCAACCCCCTTACCCCACCATAGGTGAGAGCCTTTGCGGCATTGGGGTAATGTTGTTGTTGTTTGTTTGTTGTATAGTTGGAAGGAGGGCCAATCTTACACCTCTTACATACACTCTCAAGGTTGAATGGTTCAATTTTAAACTCCTTGGAAGTTGGAGGTAGTGGTCAAAATATAAACAACATTTGAACACATAATTGGGATGAGGACACTGGAAAGCATATTAAGCTTAATAATCTTTGGATAGCCCAGTAAACTACAACCCTTGCAGTTCAGCTTCTAATTTCATCATTAATGAATGGATGTTGAACATTGGATAACTACTACCGCAATTTAGGACTTGAAAAGAGAAGTGACAGTCTGTCACTCAAAGCAAGAAAGGGACAAATAAAAACTCAAACAATAAGATGGTACTTGTATTATTTATTATGGTCTCTGCTAAATGAAATATTTAAAAACATGCGGAGGAAAAATCTAGTACTGAATCATCACATGCATTATGACTTTGCAGTTTTATGCTTAGATAGAGGTACAAAAGAGTATAACTTCATAAATCAAGTCGATGTGACAAACTTTCTAAGCCGGAATTGCAGCCCTTACCAATATTACTATGTGTATGTGTGCGCGCTCAATAAACCAACATGTGCATTGCAGAACTAGAGAGAGTGTGTTAGTAATTACAATTCTCTAAAGATCTTACATCTACTTCTCCCTTCTTTTCCTACTGCCGTTTCAAAATAAGGGGCAAAATACTTTGTTTACATCTACTTCTCCCTTCTTTTTCTACTGCCGTTTCAATATAAAGCAGTAGCTGGAAATCAGATTATTCTAACAGTCTAACGAGCTTATGAAATGAGCAATTCCACACATGTAAAGTAATGCATTTTAGTTTTAGGCAAAATTGAACCAAACTCGGTTCTTTTTTTAATTCCCTATACCCACTTTTCGAATCCAATGGCAAAAGCCTAAATAATCCAGAATTACGCATTAAGACAAAAACAATTTAACCTTCCCAGTTAAATTGGGGACAGATCTCACCAAAAGAAAGTCATGAAAATACCCCCACCAAGCACCAATATCCAAAGCCCAAAACAAAGTAAAAAATCTAGCAGGAAAAAAGGTGCAAATTCTAACCCGGAGAGTCCTAGAAGACTCGGACGAGGCAGCCGAGGAGGTTCCATGGTGAGCTGAAGCCGAAGCCGATAGACAATCAGCCACGGCTCTGCGCAGCGGCTCCGGTGGCTTCTTCAACGACGAGGATCTCAGCCTGGACGCAAGACTCACACTTCCTCCGCCAAACTGAAACTTCGAGCTCCCCGGATTACGAGACGTACTATAATTCGCCGCCATCGGGAAAATGCGCAATCTTATCGTATCTGTCTGTAATCAACCAGTAAACATACGTAGATATGTCTGTACAGGTGACATAGACCGATTGAACTGAATCGAAGAATTAAGAATCCAGGGTAGTGCTACATTTGAACCACGGAGAAATTACAAAGCTCAATAACTGTTTTCATTGTTCACCTCCTCCTCCTCCTCCTTCGTCTTCCTGTTAACTGGCGGGGGAATTACTATTTCTTACCGCATTAATATGGTAATAATATTAGAATTGCCATACACAAATCCCTACAGAATTAAATGTATCAGAAGTGGAGATTAGTATTATAGAGATTTGACTAATCTGCATGTGGGAGGAAGAACAGGGGTGGGGTTCTCTTAGCTGGCATGCGCTAAGTACCAATTTTAGTTCCTTTTTAATTTTCTCTTTTTTCCATCTTTGTTCATCATTTTCATACGCAAACCCCATTGGTGGAAGATTATGGTGCACATAAACCACATATTTGCACTTTTATGAGAACATGGAATCATTTACATAACTTTTTTGGTAAAACATAGCAATAATTGTTATGAGGAATATTTATTTCATTATGTCATAAACACAATAGAAATTAACTTAGTAGACTAGCAATCTGTTTCTAAAATGATGACTACAAAAATGATCTATATGCAAAGTTTTAGAGAAACACATAAATTGTTTTGTTTCCTATGTTGTAACCATATATAAATTGATTTAAAGAATTGTTTGAGCAAATCACGATTTACTCTTCACGATTTAAGTTTTTGGGGTCCCTGTCACTGGGATTAAGCTTGGCAAAATTTTTCTGATATTGATAAAAAAAAATATAGTTCTATTTAACCTGTAAGATTTTATGGAGCTATCGCCTCATCATGATGCCCTTGTTAGCGGGGGAAGTGGAGATAAATTTAAGAAGGGCGGCGCGCGGAGAGATAAATGTTATCGGGCGCGAGAGTCAACGTAGAGAAGTGCATACTCCGACGGCACTCCTGGAGTTTTGGATGTGTGAGTGACGCTGCGCGTTGTTGCTTGGAGTGCTTGTGAGTTGCGGATTAGGGTTTTACTGTGCCAATATGAGTTGTGGATTACGGTTTCACTACGCCAATGAAAATGTTCGAATAACATTAGATCCCTTATATATCTGTTATAAAAAATAAGGGGAATAGTTCCTGATAAGATCCCTTCTTAAAACACTCTTTATTTCTGCAACAATTGGGGCCGCCTTCCGTCATTAGCACTATAAGAGCATCTTTAATACTAAAACGTTAACGGTGCATACGTGACATGAGAAATAACCAATTAAAAAATAATAAATAGAATATTTCTCTCCTTATTTGAAAGATCTTACGTCATTTTGGTAAGATTTTCTTGACAATGTAAAGCACGTAGACATTGTGGTTGACATTGCAAAGAAAAACTTACCGAAACACATAAAACCGTGAAAAGAAAGAGAGAGACAAGTAAGAAAATCAATATTTTGTGTCTATCTCTCTCATGTCACATGTGTACTGTGCACATTGTAGCATTGAAGATGCTCTAAGAGATTAATAATCGATAAAGAGATCATACGTTACTCACGTGGAAGAGCGGTAGTGTTTGCTAGGAATAACTAATAAATAACAGCACTAGTCGTTATTAACATTAACTAGTATTCTGCCCGTGCGATGCACGGGAATCGCACGGGAAGTTTTATTAGATGTTGATTAGAGATAAAAATGATTACATTGAAAGTCATTGAAAGCACATTGGAATGTGAAAGTCATTAATATCTTACAAATTAAGAGTCTGTCTGGTAATATTGAAATTGTTTGAATTGGCAAATTCTTTTTAAATTGGTAATATTCTACTTGAATTGGCTGAATCTGCTGAATTACAAAAAATAATAAATTTAAATATGAAAAAATTCCACCAATGTTACTCCTGGAGAAGTGACGGACACAAAAGTGACTTAGTGACTTTTAGTGACTATAACTCTGTTCAAAGTTACTATGATGTAGTGACAAAAATGTAGTAAGTATTTTATTAATAAATAAAGAAGACATCTATATAGTTTTTGCCACGCTTAGTCCCCCGACTATTATGTCATTGATGCATAAATCCATTTATCATCTTGCACATAATCCAATGCAGCATCAAAGAACCAAACACGTTTAGTTACACTGCCATTTAATACAAGAAAAAATTAATTCTAGACTCATAACTCTTATTCATATTCCTACACTTGTCGACTTGCAGATATATACACAAAACCTTTTGGAAAAACGTTATTCAATCAGTTTGCAGACAAGATAAACGTGTGGGACATCCATGCTCATCTTGAGGGGCGTCTCAAGAATAAAGGATGGGCTGAACATCTTATCATGGGCCTATTGTTATTAGCCTGTTTTACTTTTTAATATTAGAATAACCTATTTAGTCATTTATATAAATAAATATTACTATTGTATTGTACCCCTAAATTGAACTACAGACTATTTTTCATTCTTCTATTTTCATCCCTCTTAATAGCTTCTGCGTTTCTTCTTTGATTACATCAGATCTAGTAATTCTACGCCTTTCCTATACCTATCTTACTATCTCAGACCACGAAGAAGGGGCACTACCCCCGGTCCCCGACAGATCCGCCTGTGACCCATGTCTTTTTCTTCCGCGCATAATGTGTCACTCATTCATCCAACGGTTTCCTCCCTTCTCCATCTCCATCGAATCCAACCCTCCCTGTTGTCATGCATCAATTGCAAGCCTCTTGACTAACATCTTTCATCTTTAAAAAATTTGCCCAACGATCAAAGATGCAATCGCATGTACCAAAGTAAAATTCTCTTCAAATTGAATGAAGGCACCAAGAAAATTTCTCATAGCTCACTCACATCATAGTTTTGTCATAAATCTTAGGAGTAATGGTGTACCCATATAGCAAGGTTGACGACTATGACGATTCATTTTTCATATTTGAAAAGTTTTGAAAAATATATATACAAAGTTTATACTTTTGAACAATATATTAGACAACATATATGCCCCTTACCTATATACTACCGTATAAGAGAACATATATATACCTCTTAACCATCGGGTAAAAACGATATATTTGTCCCGAATTAGAGGAGATGAATATAAGTGAAAAAATGTCTGAACTAAAGTGATAAGTGATACCTTGTGTTCTAGAGTATGCACTGCTAGGCGAGTCTTAGATGATAGAGGTAGGGTCGTTGATGAATTATTAGGAGGCTAAGAGGCTAATCTAGAAAACCTCCTTATCATGTTTGGAGGTCTCGTGTAAGCAAGAAATGTGGATTCCACATATTTTAATAGAATTCTACATATTCCATGAGATTCATATGGAATTCTATTTCATAGAATCATATGGATTTCATCGGATTTGAATAAATTTTATATCCATCTTCGACCTAGCCCCTAGCCCCCACAACCTTTCTTTTGTACATTACGCAACACATAAAATAATTCAAAATCTTTTGCTTCTTCTACAATAATTCAAAAAAAAAAAAAAACAGAGCACATACATGATACAACTGTGTGGCAGATAATATGGAGTAATTTGTATTGGGTGAAGTTATAATAAAAAACAGAAGCTGATATCAAACGAAGACTACGAAGCGGTAATACTTTGAAGCAGGTACCTTTCTTTTGTAATATACGAAGCTGTAATAAGATTACGAAAAAGAAAAAAGCAAGGTATGGTACCTCAGAACATGGAATATGTAAGAACACAAATGTCTAATAAGACTGCGTAGTGTGAGTGACGTTCGTGCGAGTGTTTTCAAAAGATGGATTTGGAAATCCGATGGGTGCAGGTAAGATTGTTGGTAGATTCAATTATTCAATGTTTTGCCTTAAAAGTCCATCAAAGTCTTTCACAATTCATGGAATGTTTGAGGCTAACGGGATTTTAATGGATTTCATGGAAATCTAAATTGAGGATACCTGGATTTTAATGGAATTTTAAACTCCATTAAAATCCATATTGAGGATAGAATGACTTAGAGATGGAAACACGACATGATATAATTTGATCATTTTGCAATCTCTAGTGCTCAATGTCTTCTTGAAACGGCCTATACAAAGCTAGATAGAGATTTCTAAAACAAAGAGAGGCTAAAAGTAAAAAAAAAACTCTCACAAAAGTTATATTCTATCTCCTTCCACATCTCCTGAGTCTTTTTTTTTCTTTTTCTTTTTTTTTTTTTGTAATTTTTGAATCCCTTGTTCCATTTCTGCATGTCCTCTTCAATACCCCCAACTTAAGTCTCAAAAAACCAATGCCAAAAATGAGAACAAAGTATACATAATTTAAATTTAATATATAATCAACGTTTCCTAGTTCCTAAAACCATATTTGTTAAATGAAGCTAAAGATTGAACAAACTCTGTCATCAATTGGCAAAAACCGGAAAAAAAATCATAAATAAATATGACTCTTGTTCAAGAGAGGATAGTAATGTTAATATACAGTTACACACCATAATTCATCTGTTCTAAAAAGCTAGGCAGGCCCAATCCCCGAGGCCCGAGCTATCAGTATACTAGAGGACTAAGCAAGGCTAAAATAAGAACTACCACTCAAACAAACCTTGAGCTTCCTAATTCTCATTAACCTGACAGCAACAAATGACATCACGAACTGCTGCGGATGGTAAGCCTTTTCGGAGTCGCCTGCAGCCTGCAGGCATCTATAAACATGGATTGAGTACAAAAACAATCTATATGCACCACACCCACAGAGGAAAAGGTCAAAAACCATTTTTGAACAATGGAAAGCAAAGCTTTCATATTTCAGTTTTGTACCAAAGAATTATGTACACACAACAGAATTACACACCACACAAGGAAGAGATAATATCTGGACAGTAAACACTTTCATAATCTTATCTCCATCATTATAATACATCACTTTCTATAGATAACATAGTGAACTAAATCATACATCTTGTTTGGTTTGGTTACCAAGCCAAATCCTTATCAGTCACATCGGGGCTTCAAGTTTGCTTCTCACCAGCCCATCAGTGTTCTTTTAACACCATCCACTATTTCGCTTTGAGCTCGCTTGCTATCAAACGGGAATTTAGGGCTATCATCCAATAGGAATCTATAAACTTCCCACTCTCTGTCTGATGTTGAATGCCTTCCTATCTCAGCCTACAAACCAGTAAAAGATGTTAATATTGCATTGATTCACATTAGTTAGGAAGGTCACTTGGCCCTGTTTGGTCGAGTTGTTCTGCTGAAGCTTGCTATATGTCCCAAATATTATTTTTGAGCAAGGGCTTTAATATACTTGGCCATTCAAATATATTTAAAAAAACAAAATATATTATTTTTGATCGCCTATCAGCTTATATAGTTAATTAGTAACTTGCACTCCCTCCGCTTCATTGTATTTGTCTAAAACACTTTTGGCAATCCAACCAGGCAAGATCGAAATGTAAGGCTATACAGTACCGCAAGAGCCAGTATGGATTGCTCTCTGAGTTCTAAAATTTTTAGGTGTATAAAGTTTCATTTGTGGAAAATACTACTGGTTAAGTGGCTTATTTGAAATAATCCTGAAATTATTTTAGGTGGGGAAGGGGGGCTTACCGAGAACACGCAAATATCAAGATTTTTCAAAGCGACGGTGACATCATGGAAGACACGAGGTCTCCCCTTCCCAGATAATTCAACAGGATTTGCAACCAATAATTCTGTATCAGGGCCACGGCTGGTAATTATGACCCGTAATGGGTGTAGCATCTCTTCCTTTAACCGGGAACACAAAGCTTCCTGCTTCTCAGTATCTATTATTTTTTCCCCATCAGTTGTTTGTACAAATAGTTCCATAGTTCGATATCCCTTGGCAGTGGATGAGATTCTTCCAAAGGCAACCTAGATGGGGAAAAGGAGCAGCAAGATACCACATATGTTAGATTTGAAGGAAAATAACAGAAAATGGTAACTAATAAGTCGAAATTTCAGGAAAAAGAAACCAGACTGTTATAAACGGATGCTCAGGTGACTGTTAGAGTCTGTTTGGATGTGATTTTCAGACACGCTCAAAGAAACAGCTACTAAGAAAGTAAAAATTTATGAAGGAAGCCTTTAATAGGTGATTTTTCCCAAAGTGCTTTTCTGATCATCTTTTTTTTTTTACTCCAGGGGGGTCTAGGGGACGGGGCCTGGGGGGCCTGGAGTAATCAGGGCTGAAACTCACTCCATTGAGTTTCAAACCCTTATGTGCCTAGCGGGTTTCGAACTCGAGACCTCTCACTAGGCACGGTAACCTCACAACCAGCTGGGCTGGAATGCTTGGTTGCTTTTCTGATCATCACTTCTCTTGGAATTCCCCTTAAAAGCACTTTGTAATCGTAGCATTAAAACATATATTGCTTTTTATAGTGCCTTTGTTAAAAACAATAGTTGAAGTATTTTTTCATGCATGTGGTTTTGCTACAACCAGTTCTATTAAAAATATCATAAGTTCATAACACATGGCAATACAGTTTGACCAAAGTTTCAAACAGACTTTTTTTCATTTTTTAATCATAAAACCACTTATGGGTGATGCAACTGTCAAACGCTTCTTTCAAAACTAATTTTTTTAGGTACTTTATAACTTTCTATTTCACTTTCAAATAAATTTCAACAACAATCAGGCAATACTACATAGAATGAAAAAAACATGATACCCGAATGTCACAATCCTTTGAAGTCCTCAAAATGTCATAGATGAGGGCCTTTTGGTCAATGCACTGTATTTTAAGTAATGTATGAGCTGGGCTAAGAAGGTTATCCACTGCAACAATGGCCTTCTTCACCTTTGCTTCAGGAGGTTCCTTCTCAGACAATTCACAACTAAATAATTTGTCGGCAACTGATTGAGAAAGTGAAGTGAATGCCTGCTGGCCTCCATATTCTGGTCCCGCCAACTCAAGCTCACAGCTTATACAATACTCTCCTAAAATATTGCTTATGTATTCACATGTGACATCCCGTCTCATCTTTGTATGTAATAAATCCCTGATGCAATATAATACAGAAACATAAGATACGTATTCTATACCAAATCTCAAGTAAAGTTCTTTCTACAGCAAACTAAGTAATTACAAGGTCTAAGAGAGATGAATGAGATTACAAGGTGTTACGTTAGAGTGTTAGACTAAGTAATAAACTAGGCTCAATCATTTAGTGTGGTTTGCCCTACATGCATAATGGCTAAATAACCCTAAATTAAGTGAATACAACCTCAGTGTCTCAAAACGTTTACATTTAGATTGTGCAAATTCAGCAGCAAGCTGACAACAGTTAAGCGGTCAAAAACAGATTAATGAAACACAATAGTCTTATGCTTAAAAAACCACTCATATATATTAAGTCAAGTCAAGTTTTTCGATATAAATTTTCATCACCTTTTCTCAAGCACTTAAATGTAAGAATAATATAACCCCACATCCCCAATAAGATATCCATGAAACCAAATTAGAGCTTTATTAACAACTTACAGCATATCCGTTATGAAGAAGAGATCCAAGACTTTCCCATCAGGTGTTGTCATAACTTTTAATCTTTGAATAGATAGCTCAAGCTCACACAGCACCTTGGTAACATCTGAAACACCGTGTGAAATCATGAATCAAATAATTACGCACACAAGGAATATATACTTAGTGCCTGTTTGGCGATAGATGAAGTGGACCAATTTGCTGAATTTTTTCAAAAAAAAAAAGTAGTGACATCCATTTCATCTCAATAAGGATGTGTAAGGCATAGCTAAAAAGATAAGTTATTTCACTTAATGATTATAAACAAAATCAGATTTCATGTGGATAAAGTTTACTTTAAATATGTTTGAGAATTATTAATTTCCTTTGAAAGCAAAAAAACAATTAGGTTTAACAAGGTATGAACAAACAAGTATGAAAGTAGCTTAGAATAAAAAAGCTGTTAAAATTAATCATGAGTACAAATTTCCAACTTCAAAATGCTGAAGACTTATGAATATAGTTGTTAAAAAAATTAATGCCCACAAACATGATTACATTTTTTTTAAAACTCTGAGATGTTTTTAAAATTCAGTTATTATAGGTTCCAGTGAAGCTCAAAGTCAAAAACTGCGTATAGAATAAGCCAGTAATGCTACCAAACAGGGCCTTAGATTTGCACATACCGTGTAATAGACCTTTCTTGTCAAGGCAAAATACTTTTAGAAGGTACAAGGGATGATGTGGAGGGCTACTTGATTGTGGTTCAACGAAAAAGTAAATCATACAGGAGGGACAGACAGATACAAGCCGGTTTTTCAAGCTTTCCCAGTCAATTTTCAATGAGCTTGGGCGTGGAACAACCCACAATACAATATAACACCACTTTCCATCTGTAGAAATATCTGCAACCAAGAAAACAGAACAGTGTCACCAGCGTGCATAACATTTCAGTCTGTAATAAGCTGATGGAATAATACAAATCTGCAGCAATAAAATTATTATGTAGCATAAACAAATCAAGCATTGAGTCGAATACTTTTTCTTAATTTTCAAAAGGAGGAATATGTAGCTTGTCATGGATTGACTTTTGGTACTCAAATTCTATCATTTTACATGTCTTAATTAGCATTCATGTGTCAAACGGCCTGGCTCTTAATTGAATAAAGTTCAGGTAAAAGGCAAAACAGGGAGTGATTCAGCTCAGCTTTCATAGCATGAAACAAAACCCAAGTCAGACTCTTCAAAATTTATATTCATGAGTGAAGAACAAGTCTGCAAAATAAACCAATAAATCTCCATAACTCAACATCAAATAACAAAAAAGTACCAAAGAAAGAACACTCCAATTTCAAAGCGCAATTAGGATTTTCTTTTTCTGTGATTCTAATTCAAACGAATTACAACTTATCAAACTCAATCAGAAAGAAAAGCACAGAAAGCTGAAACTTTTTCAAATAAAACACAAAGTTTGTTCATTTAATGGAAAAAAGACAAATAATAAAGCTCGGGAAAGGGAGACCATTAACCTCCACGGGTAACATAGAGGCCGAATTCGAGGATGATTCTACAAAGGTCGCACCCGAGCCCAGCCTTGTCGGGGCAGTTCACCGTCACGACGGTGGGGTCGCCGGAATTCTTCCCGTGCTCGATGATAACGACGTCGTCCAGAAGAATCCCCATGCTTTCTCGAGACCCAGAAAGCTAAAGCCTCGGAACTGATACCAGGTCAAAAATCTTGAAATTTTATCGACCCGTCATCGCCGGATGCTAAAGCTCCGAGAACGGCCGGCGAATCCCTAAATTCTCTCTCCGCCTCTGATTCAAGAATAATGATAATGCTCGGTACGGGCAGCAGGGAGTAATAATGGAGGTAGTGGTCGATGTCAGTGAGGTATGAAAGGCTGCGACCAGACGTGGGGCCCCCGACCGAGTAATAGCCACGTCCGATTTGTCAGCTACCAGACAAATAGGCACATGCGCGATTTATCCGGTATCGGGTCGTACGGAGAAGTATAATTTGTAAATCGTCATCATCATGTCACTACATTAAACATGAATGGACGGCTCCTTTCACCTTCAAGCAACAACATAGACCGTCAATAATATAGCCGGTGCATAAATCAAATTCTTCCTTAATTTATGATTTCATACCTGCGTAACTTAAAATTTTCTCGTTTCAAAAGTAGATAGATTAAGAATAGTGAAAGAGAATATAAATTATTGAGGACATGATGGGAAGATGGTGCAATAATGTGATGGAATGTAGGATAAATCCAAAAAAATAGTTGTAATAATGTATTATTTTCAGAATTATTGAGAGTATGATGGGAAGATTTAGAAATGAGAATATTTTTTGTTATGGAACGCAAAAAGGGAAAGTGGAAAGATTTTTTGTTACTGAGGGAGTATTTATGAACCTGTTTGGTAGAAGCAAAGCGACTCAATCGATTCATTGATTCTGCTGAAATTGAATATGTATTGGTTGAAGTGGGACTTCCGATTCTGCTGATTTCTGAAAAAGTTATACTTGAAATATTTTTTATTAATACAAAAAATTATACTCTCTCCATCATTTAAAACTTTATCAAATTTTACCAGCACGAATAATAAAATAAAAATTGGATGGTCAAGGCTTGTACAGATGTGAGGGAAATAGGAGGAACCACAAATAATTGATTAAAAGAGAAAGTGTCAAACTTTTTTGAGACATCCCAAAACGAAAAGATGACAAACTATGAAAAATAGCTAAATTGAACTTATACACTAAATTCAACCAATACAACTAGAAAAGTAACTACAACCTCATTTTCTTATTATTACACAGTTATGTGTAAGAAATTAAAAATTATGTTTTTGATGAAAAAGTTGACTGATAAGTCTGATAAATAAAAAAAACTGTGTCACAAAGGGGCTCTATTTATATCCATTCACATGAAAGACAAGTGCACTTTTAATTATTGTGGGAAAATATAGTTAATTGTGTAATTTAATTTCAATGGATTTAATCAATTCAGACAGTTCTTTACCATAAAGCCCGTTTGGTGACTCAGATTTTTGACTTATCAGACAACTTCTCACCAATTACGTAACGGTTGATTTTCCGCATCGAGTGTGTAATAATAATAAAAAGTCGGAGTTACTTTTCTGGCCGTATTGACTAAAGTTACTGTAAAAGATCATTTTAGTTGTTGTTTCTTTATTTTATTAATAAAACATACTACCTCCGTCCCGATGGACTTTGCCAAGTGCAAAGTATGTGAGAAATAAGAACAGTAAAAACTGTGTGATTGAGATTTGTGTAGAGGAGAGAGAAATGTGAAGAACCACAAATTAGTTGGTTTAATAAGAAAGTGGCAAAGTTTTTTGGGACAACAAAAAAGGGAAAGTTGGCAAAGCCCAATGGGACAGAGGGAGTATTTTAATACGAAGTATATTTTTCAGCATAAATCAGCAGATTTAGACAATCCAGTCACTTTGGTCAAAACATTATAAAAGCATTTACAATGCCACAATGTGCACGATGCATATGTGGCATAAGAGAGATAGACAAAAAGAATTACTAAACAAATTATTTCTCTCTCTATTTGAAAGTTCTTATACTCCCTCCGTCCCGCAGATTAAGAAAACAAATTTGACTTTAATGTGATGTGCACTGTTTTGCACTATTTAAACACTGTTTGACACTGTTTTGATTTAGAGAATTTGCCAAATAAGGAAAGTTTTGAAGTGTGAAGTTAATTTCGGGACTGACCAAAAAGGAAAGTGAGAAGTTGTCTACGAGACTGAGGGAGTATATTTTTGGTAAATTTTTCTTCACAATGTCAAGAAAAATGTGTATATATGTTTGTGGTTGATACTATTACTAAAATTATATAAAATCGTGGAAAAAATGAAAGAGAAATGTGTCTATCTCCATCAGATCACATATGAAACGTGCACATCGTAACATTGGATAGTCTATAAATATGTTCAAAATCAACCAATAGAGTTGATTTCGATAGTATCAAATGGGCTCCAACTCTAATATCAGAATATGATTTTGTTCCATGTCATCAATTTGTGCAGCGAGCCTCTTCTAGAATCTAGAATCGTTAGAGATAAGATGTGTTTTTTACTCCGTATGACAATATTTATCTTTCCTATTCCTAGAATATTTGTTCACGCGCAAATACTACCAATAAAAATCAAATTGTTGAAATATTATTGAATTATTCATCTTTCAAATATTCCTGATTAGGAATTATTATCACCATTGTTGGGTGTCGATTTCTTTCCGGCTCAGGTCTCCAACCCTTTAACTAGACTCACACACACCACTCTAGGCTAGACCACAACACAACTCCAAGCTTCTTCTCTACCACTAAGGTATTCTCTCTCACACTCTCACACAAAGGAAATGGAGAAGAAGAAGAAGGGCACTGCTCACTACTCTCAGAATATCTCAGGCAGGCTACACTCTCAAGGAAGAAGTGAGCTCCATAAATAATAGGCTGCCAGCAAATTATCAAGACAAGTCACGAGGGATGCAAAGACAAAGGCTCATGGGCAGACACAGACAGAAATGCAGCGGACCATAAGGAGAGGGGGCCAAGCATTAGGTAAGTCAACACTCAATGAATGGCCACAACAGAAGAACTAAATAGGTATACCTTAGTGGGAGTAAACATGGGGTGCAAGTCAATAATAAAGTGGAAGGGAGGCCTTGACAGGACCAATACCTCCAACATTCTCCACCTTATTGGTCCTAAGTGGTGTAGAGTAGCAATACAAAGTTGTGAGGAGACTCATCATCGCCGGATTATTACAAGTACATCATTGCGATCATACAAGTAATAGATGAGAACCAAAGTTCCCTTTCGGACCAAGCTTACCGTGCGAACCCACTTCACGATGGACTGAACTCTACCAATCGGTCCTCGAGTTCAGAACCAAAACCATCACAAAACTATTAACAAGCACAACACATGTTAATAGACCACGCAAGCAAGCATCCGGGAGAAGTTGGGGATTCCAACTAATCCAACAACCACACAAAGCAAGTACACAGAAAATAAAAGAAACAATAGTATTTCTATAACTAGCACAGGCGGAGCTCACATAATCACATGGTATCACATTTTCAAAAGACAAAGAAAATAGCATACCAAATATCACAAAGATTTTAATTAATAGAGAATTAAGCACATGTAAAGCAAACTCAGAGGAAATATAGTCAAACACATTGCACATATTATTTCTCTCATGCTTCCTAATGTCTCTATCTCTAATAACATGACAATCACGCAACTCAAGCATATTGCACACAACATTCATATCATGCTCCACCTTAATAGAAATATTATTTTCTTTATTTTCATCATGAAAAACATTTTCATCCACAAATTTGGGTTCGGTTTCAACAAGTAAATCAGAATGAACATCAGGCAAATGCTCCACCTCATTTGGAGCAACATCAGGAGAAACAAGTAGGCAAGGAAATTCATTTTCAACAAAAATGACATTTCTACTCATCAACACATTGAAGCAAGTTTCACTCCTACACCAAAGCCTATAACCTTTCATGCAATCATGATATCCTAAGAAAACATATTCCTTAGTCCTAGGTTCAGATTTATCATTCACACGATTCACATAAGCAGCACAACCAAACACTCTCAAATTTGGCAAGTTAAGTGGTTTGCCCATGAACACAGATTCAGGGCATTTCCCTCCTAAGGGAACAGACGGGGACAGATTACTCAAATCAACAGCATAACAAATAGCTTCCCCCCAGAACTTATTAGAGAGCCCAGATGAAGCTAACATAGCCCTCACCCTCTCTAATAAAGTTCTAACCATCCTCTCAGCAATCCCATCCGGTTGGGGTGTGGAGGGAACAGACTTATGCATAGAAATACCCCAAGTATCACATAAATCACCAAGCTGACTATCACAGAAATCAAAACTGACCGTGGTCCTTAAAAAATTAATTTTCTTACCGGTTTGTTTTTCAACAAGGGTTTTCCAGTTTTTAAACTTATCAAAAACTTCAGATTTGTTCTCAATCAACAAAACCCACACTTTCTTTGAAAAATCATCAATTAACGTCAGAAAATAATTTTTCCCACCATGAGTGGAAACACTGTAAGGACCACACAAGTCAGCATGAATACAATCAAGTACATCAGTACACTTAGGTAGATCAGGAAAACCAACTCTAGACTGTTTTCCTAGCACACAGGGTTGCACACAATTCACAGAATCAAGTACGGGTTCAGCATGACGAACATACAAGTTGTTCTTCATCTCAGCTTTGAAAACAACTAAACAACCCTTCACAACTTTCATGATTCCCTTTCCCCATTTTCCCTTCAAACCCACATTTTCAAGAGAAGCACAAGATAGCAAATTACAGCACAGCTCAGGAACATGCCTAACATTCTTCAAAGTAAGCACATAACCAGAAGAAAACCTAAGGCATACATCTCCTATTCCTAGCACATTGCATTTCTTCTTATTTGCTAAAGACACAAAGCCATGCTCAATCTCTCTATAGTTTGAAAAAACATTTTTCATAGGGGACATGTGAAAACTACAACCAGAATCTACCACCCAATCTGATTTACCCAAGGAATCAGATATCACAGAACTCAAATAGTCATAATCACATAGATTTTTCATCATAAGCACATCACCTAAATCATCTACACACGTAGTCAAATTAGCATGCTCACTATGCTCATTTTTCTTAGATTTAGGACAGTCTCTTATGAAATGACCAGATTCATGACAATAATAGCAACGCCTCGAATTAGACCTAGACTTAGATCTATGTCGTCTACTATTATTTTCTCTACCCCTCACATGCATAACTTCCTCGGATTTTCTACCCTCACCCATCTGTTTTAAATCTAATTCCTTACTCTTAAGACCATTT